TGCGAAACCACAGCCAAAGGAACGGGCTTGGAAGAATCGGCGGGGAAAGAAAGACCCTGTTGAGCTTGACTCTAGTACAACTCTGTGAGATGACTTGAGAGGTGTAGAATAAGCGGGAGCTTTACGGCGCAAGTGAAATACCACTACTTTTAGCATTATTTTACTCTTAAAATAATGATAATAATAATAATAATAATAGAAATGAATTCTGTAAAATTTCATGAGGGACGCTGGGCGCAATTCCCAGCAACTTGCTGCTCCCCACGAATAGATCGACGCAATTTTCTTTGGGAAAAAAAAGGTAGGTAGTTGAGTAGGGTAGGACCAAAGCAGCCATCGAGCTGCGTGGGGCTAGAAGGAAAAAGGAAAGTCCCGCATGGGGAGGCCTGTAAGCAAAACTGGATAATGCTTCCCGAACTTTCTATCCGTCCGAGTGTAATGTAGAGGTCGCCGGCCTCTAATCCTTCTCTGATTATGAACTGAACTAAATTCTGATGGAACCAGCAAAAAAATAAAAAAGAAGATGCTACCCCCTTCGGAAGAGGGTAGCATCTATGAGGCACACACAAAAAAAAAGAAGTCAATGTTCTAAAACCTATTTCTAAAAATAGTATGATTCATCAATACGGCAGTTTTAGCGGGAATCATCTATCACACTCGAAAGCCGCATAGATAATCTATAGCTGTGCTACCATATACGCGCATGCATACTCACAAGCGGATGTTTTCGACTCAGCTCTGGACTTGATTGTGGCCAGATACACCCAGGCTATGTTGCCACTTGTACGCGCCCTCGTACAAGTACGGATTCGTACTCCTGTACTTGTACGCTACTCGTACACTAGCCCTCCCCTATTAGTTTTTATTTATTTTTCTCAAATTCTAATAAGAATCTGCAGATGATGCTCAGCCAAATGTTGCTTGTATTGTGCTGTTGCATAACATATTTGTTTTTCAGAAGTTTTTGATGACCTTTTTTTTTCGCTTGTCGTACGAACGGGGCGTATAAAACGTACGAGATTGACGTACAGGTTCCCGTACAGGTCCCGTACAGATATTACCTGCAGTGTACGTTTCGTATGGAGAGGCCCCCGTCCGTGTACGTCAGGTAATGGAGCACCCAGGGTCGGCCGTAATTGCAGCTGAATACATCTTGCAAAGTTTAAGTCCTAAGGTAAGTACAATCTAAGTGACTGTCTCTTCCGCGGAGGACTGACCGCAGTACATTCTCGAGTATCTATTTATAGAACTCCGGCGACTAACCCTTCTCTCCAATCACTAGCAGCCAGTGCAGTAACTGCAGTTAACTTATCAGCTCCATCGGCGGGTGCCGGCAACTATTAGCTACCCACTACGCCCACCACACTAACAGTTACAGTAACTGCAGTTAACTTATCAGTTTCATTGCCACCGACTACTGCCGTCACAGTTACCGCAGTCAACCTTATCACTGTTACCAGTTCCATTGGCAGCTATTACCTAACTACAGCCAGTACAGTAACTGCAGTTACCCTTACCAGCCAGTGCAATAACTGCAGTTACCCTTGCCAGCCAGTGCAGTAACTGCAGTTACCTTTACCAGCCAGTACAGTAACTGCAGTTACCCTTACCAGCCAGTGCAGTAACTGCAGTTACCCTTACCAGCCAGTGCAGTAACTGCAGTATCAGTGC